TCTCTCTCTCTCTCTCTCTCTCTCTCTCTCTCTCTCTCTCTCTCTCTCTCACACACACACACACACACACACACACACACACACACACACAAAAGAACACTTGCACGCAGTCAGGAAAGCCAGGGGAAGACAGAGGAAGAGGTGGAAGAGGAGGAGGAACGGGAGAATCCCTGTTAGCAGACTCTTGCTAACAACCACAGGGCACAACGCTCACCGGCAGTCCAGGAGAACGTGATGCGATTGGACATTTCATCCAACAAATACGCTCACGCATGTGTAACTCTTGACAGGTGTGATCCGCAGGTACTATAGAGAGGAAGTACTAGTTAGTCCTCTGTCGTCTCCGCATTTTGCGCCATGCCCCTGGCGCTCCAACGGCTGGGCGATACCGGCAGAGGCCAACGGCCAGAACTACTACTGGGGGAACCCTGCTTGGTACTACCTGTCTGGGACACATCTGGGACACGTGCGCTGGAAAACAAATGCAAGAGTTCTCCTTCTCACTGACCTGATGGAACAGATTCGATGTGGCACCCGCCGCAATGGCTGGACCCCACAGTTCGGGTCTGTCAAATACCTGGCAGATCAAAACCGGTGTTCCACCACTCAGCACAAGACCACTTGCGTACCCAGTGTGTCCCTGGCCTGCGTCGGTCGACACCGCTGGCCCGAGTGCACAGAGTTGAGGGTTCGAGACTTCGGACCCACAACCTCAGACTCCCCGCTCAATCTGGATAGACCCTGGCAAACAATGTGTCATCTTGATCATCACAACAACCTCTGTTGAATACCTTTCTCGGCCTTTTGGCTAAGATCAAGTGTAGTATCTGTTCTGAACAGTTTAATATATATATGTTTTTTTTTTTGGGAAAAGATGATCCGTGGTCCATCGGGCCACAAAAAAAAAACAAAAAACAAAAAACCTCTGTTGGGACTTCGAAACCTTGGCACACGTCTGAATAGCCATGGGAACTGACTCCCTGCAGACCACTTCTCCATCCCCTTTCGGGGCCCCCACAAACTACTCCTCCTCCCGTCCAAACCGCCCTCCCAGACCCCTGCTTTATCAGCCCCACTCCCCCTCTCCCGCCC